GATGAGTACGCTTTAGATTTCAGGCAACCCCAGAACCAGAAATCGATGGGAGTGAGGTCGGTGGATCACAGTGGCCACAAAACTGCAACATTACGGAAGAGGATTCTGTCTTAAAACGTTCACTTATTAAAAGCTTGTAAATTCAATGAACGTTTTTCCTCTTTCCTTTGTTGTGTTGTCATTGGTCATTTACAATGCTTTACTTTATAAATATTATCCGCTAGCGATTTTTGTCACACGAGTATCGCTCCAACGCCATTTATGGCTTTTCAGTGCGCTAATTACTTTGCGCAGGAAAACTGGTATTGCGAACAGAATATCCATAATCGCAGGAGCTGTATTGCTTTCAATCATCATAATCTTCAGCGCACAGTTTCAAATAACAATATCTGAAATTTCATTTCGGTTGGTTAAGTAGATAGGCAGCTTTAGGTTCATACATAGAGGAAGTTTCTTATGACTACCACTTAGATTATTTACTTCAATTTCATATACATTATATAATAAAGAGTCCTCATAATAAAAATGTAATGCTACTGTGGTTCAGAGTTCATTCAAAATACTTCAGAAACATAATTAAACCACGCAATATTAGATATAATGGATACACTTCATTCAATAAAATAAAGAATATTAAGGTTTTCTAAGAACAGTTTATCATTTTATCACAGAAAATCTAATAAATGTATGAATGAAAACTGCCCAGAATAGCAAAACAGGATGAACTATCGTAGTACTTTATACTTGGAATACAGCAGTCTAATTTGTATTTCTAACAGATTATAAGCAAAATATAAAATCTAATTTAAGGTACAAAAAATTGAAAATTGACTCAGTAAGTTAATTTTTTCGAATTTATTTATTCTTTTAAACCTATAAATTATTTTAGAAAGTAATTCACCGATATCTTATTATCCTTTATAAGATTATTGAATACCTTATTTAGGTAGGACTTACTAAATAATTCGAGAACAAAGTTAATGTTTTCAGCTTCAGTGGGCTTTAAAAAATAAAGCTTACGATGAAAGAAATTGAAAAACTTGCAAAGTATAGAAGGCATTTCTAATTACAAATGTTACAATCATGCCTTCTCCGGGATTCGAGCTCGGGCCAATCGCTGCGTCAGTCAGGGATACCAACCACTGTTCCGAAATTTATTAAAAATACACTCTGGAAGCGTTCTGATTTCCAGAGAGTTTTTTTTTTTTTTTTTTTTTTTTGCACTTTCGTAATAATTTACTCGTGTTCACACTACTGCCATATGTAAGTAATTTGCTTTAGAAAAATTCTGCACTTCGAGGAAAGTTCTCGGAAAAGATTTTGAGGTACTTTGAGAAGAAAGTTAAAAAAAAAAAAAAAAAAAAGTCCAGTACTTTTCCTCTGGCTGTGACAGAATGTTTGAAAAAACCCTTTCACCCTCTAAAGGGATATTTTTATTTATTTATTTATTTATTTATTTATTTTTTTTTTTCAGTGCAGTGTTGTATAGTATTTGCCTTTTCTCACCTATATATGTTAATGTTTAGATCTTTCTCAGTTCATTTGACGGGAGATAAGAATAATGATTATTTGTGCAGGAAGAAAGAATTCGCAACAAAAGTAAGCTGCGTATGTAAATTATAACGGAAGAAAAAAGTAAATTTAGATTAAATGCAAAATACAGAATGCTCTGAGTAAAAGCATAGAGGTAGTTCATTTTAAAGTTAAAATTTGTATTAAACTCTCCATGATGCGGTTATCCTTTTGAATGTAAATGATATTAACCGTTATATATATAATTGAATTACTAATGGATTATTGAGTATAGTGCGCAACTGTTTGTTTGTTTGTGGCATTATCTCTTCCGGAACGGCGGCGACTTGGGTTTCGAAAGAGGTAACACACCCCCCTCCCGGATTTCAAAATTCCTAGGAAGACATTTCGAGAGCCTACATATTAACTAAAAACACTGGAAACGCTAATTTTCGACCTGAGTTTTCCGAGTGGCAACAGTCTCGCACGCTGGAGAGAAAAATCTGCTTTATTTCGAAAAGTAGTGTCACTGCTTGCTTTCACATAGCAGAGTTTGTTAATAAAAAAAATATGTAACTTTGACAAAATATATGAAATAAAAATAACATTGCCAAGCATTAAATATATTATTAGCCCAAAGGGGCTTTGTCCCTGAAGGACTATTGTTTTCGTTTTGCGATTTTGCGTTGACTCACTATAAATGTCCGTTTCACTTTTTAAACTGTTGCCACACAATGTTAGAGAATTAAATAATGAAAAATCTGCATAAATGTATGTATATTTCTCGCAGTGTGATAAAACAACGGTACCTAGAGCCATCGAATTTTGAATATGACATAATTCTCCTACTAAAATAGGCATGTGGAAGACCAAATTTGAAATTTGTTTTATTATCTATTTCCTATTTTCTGAAACTTTAACGAATTTTTGAATAACAAACTCAACTATTTAAAAGCGAGCAATGGCAACACTCTACGCAGGTTCTGCGAGCTCTTTATTTCCAGCGCGCGGAACTGTGTATCGGAAATTATAAAGATATGCTCTTTTTAAAATTATTTTGCGACATTGCTATTGAACTGAATTTTATGGGTTAAGTACAAAGAACATGATATTTCATAAATAAAGGTAACACACAAAACGTTCAAAAAACGCCCGTTTGAACGTAATTTCAAATCTGACACCTTTAATTTTTTTTAAAATTTATTTATTATATTTTATTATATAAGGTCATGTTCTGACGTTGCAGAAAGCATGCGATATTATGTGACGTCAGTGTATGTCGAAAATGTTGCATGATGTCAGCATTTTAAATAAATTCCTGATGTTGGTAACTTTTTTATCCAGATTAAGACACTTGACACGATATGTTATTTCCACATTAATTCTTTTATTGATATTCAGAAACAGTTGTTATGTTACATCAAATTTAAACCATGACGTCATACGTAAACGTATTAACCTGAAGTGTCCAAATTTTTTATTTCCTGTTTTGGCAGCAAAAATATTATTTATGAATTGGCTGTTTCTTGTAAAGAATGAACTGACTTCCTTCATACTGAAATATATTTATGTACTTTCTTTTCATGTGTACACAGAAATCAAAATTTTGCTTTGGTCGCAGCTAGCAACTTTGCATACAGTACATTAAATTAATAGCTCCTTTTATTTTCAGTTTCTCAGTACATAAAACTAAGTAAAAATGTACATATATTACTTTGGCTGTAGCCGACCTATCTGGCGGGCTTGCCCACTAGAATATATATGTAAATTGTTAAGTCTAATGTAGTAGTATTTTGGGACTATTAACCAATAGTAAATATTCATTGCTAAAGCAAATGCGTCGTAAATTTTTACATAACTTATACAATGCATAAAAAATATTACCATAGAAATGTACGAAATGAATATTTGCCCAAATTTGTAAATGTTTGATATTTTCATTTCTGAAAACTTCACGTAAAAGATTCTTCTTTATGTATTTCGTTTGATATAAATTCATGTTTAGGAATGATGTCTTAAGTAATTTATTAATATTTAGAAAACTGATGTAAGAATAATTTATTTATGTTTAGAAAATTTAGGTAAAATAATTTATTGATATTTGGAAAAGGTATCTAAAGGTAATTTGAATGCATTTTCTACTTATGTTTTTAAGTTGAATGCGAAGTTTCATATGCAGCAAAAACCAAAGTAAATAGCTCATGCAGAAAATAAAAAAGCAATTTATTGTGCATAATATTTTGAGAATAATTTTATACATTTTATGTGACATAATTAAAATATAATAACAAGTAAAATACATTCAGTAAATTATATAGGTCTTTATCTGCAAAGTAAAATGCAATAAAATCAATCGAAATTCTAGCTTTTATGTTAGTTTCAGTTATAAAAATAAAGAAAAATTACGCACAAGGCACTATAGTTTAAAAATATGTATTCAAATAGCTACAAATTATATAAAATACAAAATGCGAGGATGTTATATTTTATCATATGAAATTATAAAATTGAAAGTATTCTAAAAATCTGCTTTATTACAGCTCACATTCCAAGAAGTTAGATGTAGTATTAATGCAGTGTTAGATGTCCTGTTGAAACCATTGGTTTGAAATATTAATTCAACAAATTTCACATGCAGACGAAGAACGACTAGTTTTAGCGACTTTACCGCTTGGGCGCTGATGGACTATTAGAATATAAATATAAATATAATATATGGCTTGGAACATCATGTGTCACCATCATAATCTTCGTAATTCCCATCTTCTGAAGTAAACAGCAATGTCATTTCATTTTTCTGTTTATGCTTAACATTATAAGGCTGCATATGCACTAACTTTATTCGGTAATAAAGTTAATGAAGTAAAAATTTATATTATTGCAGAATATTTGTTTTGATTTAATAAAGGCATTTTATCAGACTGAATTTTAAAGTATTTTAATCTTGGAATTTACGTATTATAAATAAATGCATAACTTTACAATGGATATATTGAAATATCTGTGTACATATTATATTGACATTAATGCGAACTGATTTTAAACAAATAATTAAAAAAATTAAAAAATTAAACCTAATTTAAGGAGTTGAAATATTAAATTTCAATCCATCGTAACACTTAATCATAAAAACGGACGTTAATTAATCCATTTTTTAAACTTAATTATTGCCTTGGAATTATCTGACTTCACACTTCAGTCATTTTCAGATCGAAGTGACACTAAATATTCCATTATCGGAAGTGAAATACGTCAAAGTTAATTTCAACTTTGTGCGATTTTTACCTTTTCTCGCTTTTCAAAATCATAATTTTCGAGAACCATTTTCAGATCTCTCAATAACGAACGCAAAGTCATTAGAACAGTTTTAACAGACTTCTCCGTCGAGATTCATTTAAAGCGAACCGGAGAAATGGGTCACACATACAGCAGCGATCAATAAAATGTCGCGTGTCAAAAAGCTGTTGTAAATAATACGAGTCGCTTACCGCACTCTCCCCTGTAAGCCAGCGTGACTTCTCGCTTGGCAAGACACGATTCGCGGTGGAGGTCGCAGTCATTATCGTAAGTACGGCCATCGGATCCACAGACGGGTCGCATGACGGGTTCACACTTGGGCGGACACTGGCAGGTAGCAATCCCGTAACGGTCAATGTCACATTCTTGGTTAGGACCACAGTTCAAACTTTCACATGGGTTTGCACCTGGAAGGAAAAAAAGAAACTGGCGATACCACCTTTGTCAAATGAGAATACCATGTTCTTAATTAATACAGACAAACCTTTTCAACCTTAAACATAAATGTATATAAACATGTAAAATTTGCAAAGATGCATTTAGACAAGATGGAAATGCTCCTCATCATCACCATTTTCCTGGTGGTATAATATCTTTACAAATAAATATGAAGTATGCATAGTGTTCTGTTCTGAGATGTTCATGGATGATTTCCAGGAAGAATAGCCTGATGATAATAAAAAAGGGGACACTGGAAAGCTTCAAAACTATATAAAGATTTATTGATCAATAAGTGAGTAACATCAGAAAATTCAATATCATTAAAAGCACCACCGAAAAAATTTGACGAATGTTCTGCAACTTTTGCCCATATGTAAAGGTATTCAAAAGCAAGCGCTAAAATAGTTAGAAATTAACTTTAAAATGGGGTCAAAAATCTCACGTTTGTGATGCAAGCTCTTTTAAACGAACCGAACTTGCAAAGAGTTCGCCTAAATAGTTAGTCTATTTTTGGGAATTGTACTTATCAGGCTTTTCAAGCATTGTCAGGGATTCTGTTATAACTCTACGCCCAGACTCAAGCCCACTGAAACATTCGGTGTATGGTAGAGCATTCTAAGCGTCAGAAGTCAGCTGTAGGGTTAAATATTCCATAAGTGAGGATTAGCTCCTACATAAAATAGATTCAAGAAGAACGATGGGTCAGATGTAATTTTGTTTACAAATGAGCCACAATCATCGGAGATGGCAAATGTTTATAATTGTACAAACATGTCCACTGTGTTCAGACTTTGTTTCTTGGCATTTATAACTTTAGTAAGGAACATTAAACTTAATCAACAGAAAGGAATCAGGTACAATTTTGTTAAAAGTTGCTATATGCTGCAGCAATGAAGGCTTAATACTGTTACGAAATGCCCAGCAACGGTAAAGATAGTTTTCCCGCAAAGCGGTTTAAAGCTGCCAGACTTGGCCCGAAATCACCCATTTGGCGACAGAGTTGGCGATATGCCATACACTTTTGAGAACTTTCTAAAACGAATTCTTACCGGTTTTCCAGAGAAGACTCTCGAAGGCAGCTCAAAAGCTACGTATATCCTGCCTGTATGCAGAGTAGAAGAGTATATTGACTTCAATAGTAGTATTCTGAGTTCAGAGGTTAGCTTGAGAGCGCCCGAACCGATTCTGGAGCTGTACTTTAGCGCTCTGCCTGAAACTGTCTTCAACGCTGTAACCTGACGGCTGTGCTGCTGATTGGTTCAGCTTGTTTATCGTAGTTTTACGAAGATTGTATTCATAACCTCTTCGAAACTCTTCTGTGTAATACTGGTGAATAAAGTGTGTTTTGATAGTCCATCAAGTATTTTCATCAATTACTCTAAATCCACTAACCCGTAGAACGCAACAATATCAACACATAGTGCATAATGGCAACAGACAACAAAATTCAAGTGCATTTAATACAAATGTATAGCTGTATTCTGTTTTTATATTAACAAAGACTTTGTGTCGCCGATAGGCAGCTAGCTAATCAACTAGGGCAGTGGCTGGTTAGTGACTTTGCTCACAGGGTTGTTCATTAAACAGCCAGAATGCATGCTGCCCGAACTGCCACTTAAGTAATTAAACTATTAGTTTAAAAAAGAGAGAGAGAGAAGTTCAAAGCTCAAAAGCCGCTGAGTGGAGAAGAACTGATGAAATCGCATGGGTGCACGCAATGTTAAGTGCTTAGGTAAAACTATTATTATAGTAGAAATACATTAGTTATGATTCTTCAGCGAATTACAGCGAAGATGTTTCCACTTTGAGTTTCGAAACTGAGCTGAGTAGCTTTGTTGATGATATAGATGGATAGTAAAGTGGAAACTATAGACATAAGAAATAATACAATAAAATAGCTATATGTAGTGCAAACATTAGGTACGTAATTAATGCATTTAACATGCATATATTTAATACAAATACCACCTAAAATTTCAAGAAAATTGAAAGGTCTTAAATTTTGTGATACTTATGTACCAAATATTGCCAAGTATCTCCAAGCTCGTCAGATTTCGAAAATCTGCATCAGCTGATTAGTGTTTATAAATATAATATATGTATATATGTATATAAGCGAAAGTCTATGCTAAGCAAATGTAAAAAAAAAAAAAAATACAAAAAAATCCTATGAAACTAGAAAAAAAAGTGTTTGCAAATATCGTGCAAATTTATAACAGTTTTTTCATCTGTAATTCATAACCTTTTCACAAAGAGTAAAATCTCATACCTTCCATGAGCATATCCATACATTAGTGATTAAATTAGACGATAAAACGAAAATCTCTGTTTTTCTAAATGATACTCATTATATTAGCCTCATTAATTATTAACATATAGTATTTAATTTTTCACATATATATAATTATAACCATTATTTGTAAGTAAAAAAATTAATTCGCATAGCTGTGAAACTTCAAAAAACGCGAATTAAGTAATAAATATTTTGAACGTTAATCTAGCGTACTCTGCATTGAAATTTACCAAGCAAACACATCGAAAATGTTTTATTCACTAGGTATTTTGTTTTTAACATAATTGGAATCGGCAGATGTAAAAAGGAGGTATGTGCCAAAAGCCAAATTTTACAGGAGCAACAAAAATTATTCTTCCTCGCAAGAAAGTCAGAAGTCAACAGCAAAACATTATGTGACTAGGACCCATGTAATTTAGCGTTTTTCGAATGTCTTCTGACATTCTTGCGTAAAATGAGATATTTTTTGTTGCTCCAGTAAAATTTCACTTTTGTCATATAGCCCGTTTAAACCTTCGGATTCATTTTCTTTCTTAAAATACTAATTAAAAGTTTAAAATTCTAGAACAGATTTTAATAATGTGAAAAAGGTAAAATTGTAAGCGAAAAATAAACTATAAAATTTTTATTAATATTAATTAATTGTTGTTTATTTTTTATTTATTTATTTTTGTTCTGTGCAGAAACAAAAATAAATAAATAAATAAATAAATAAATAAATAAAAGTTTTCGTATTTGGAGTGGTAATCTCATATGAGATTATTGGTTGTCTTTCAGAACTACAGGAAAGAATCATTTGTAATTATAGTTTAAATGTGCGTAACTTAAAACTCGTAACACGTTGAGATAAAATATCTCTTTGGGGATTCTTTCGTTTTTTAATTATGACGATCTCATATTGGAGAGGTATAAAAAGTAAGAAAAACAAGGATTAAAATTACACAAGGAGCCCAAGGCAGCTTATTTTCGCATTTTTTCAGAAATTAAACACAATACGTTTAAGCACTGACGCATCAAAGGTCTTTTAATTGTGGAAAAAATAGTTTATACACCTTTTAGTTTTATACAGTTCATACTTCAGTTGGCTAAATAGTAAAAGAATTTGTACAAATTTATTCTGAAGTCAATGTAGAGAACCAAAATATTTTTGCACTTTTTTATTGATAGCACTTCTACTATGAAATGATTTAATGACTTATATTGTAATTTACAAACTGGCATTCAAGGCTTATCTTAACAGCAAAAGTTTCTTTAATAAATTATACAATTTTAAGTTGTTAAAAAGTTATTTAATCGTTTGTTCCATATGCCAAAATCTGCCAAATTACTTGGAAATTGTGGTGTTGTTGGCGTGACCGCCTAAAAGTAACGATACTAAGAGTATCAAATACAAATTAATTCCGCGCAAATAGTTAAACTAAAATTTAGTGGTTAGTACATTGCACGATCTTTACTAACAAGAATAAAATGACGATAACGAGAACAAAATGACCATAACGATTCAAGAATCGAAGATGACATATTGTTCACTGTGAGAATTCTGTGTTCTCACAGAAATTTGAATTAAAATAATAAGCCGAATTATGATTATTGGATGTGTTAAAGAAAGCAGAATCAGCATAATATTCATAAATCAGCTTCAGCTGCCGGAGTGCAAATGACAAAACAGAAGCGTATCCTTAAACAATATCAGTAAAAAGGATGAAGCTATTAGCTCCATCTAGTTATGAAAAAATGAAAAAAAAATTCACAGATGACTGTGACAGTTAATCAAATGAATTAGTGAACCGCATGAGAAAAAATATTAGCTAATTTAATCATAGTTCTTTAAGTTTTAACAACTTCAAATTTTAATTTCTTAATAATAAATCTAGTTTTTGTCGCAGAATAACTTTTTTCGTCTAGTTTCATGCCGTAAACCACCCCTAACTGAAACTGATTGGTATAATTTTCATTTGCTTCCATCATCCCCAGTGTCTAGAATATTTCTTCCTTTGTTAATTTAAATATTATAAAATAAGCTGAGCTGATATTTTTTGTCGGAAAAAAGTTCCGTCTTAAAAGAAAATTTCAAAGCTTTCAAATATTAGATATGAATTATGTATTTTCTTAGTAATAGTATTCATTTAGAGTTTCATTTTGGAGATTATAAAACTGTCTTAACTTAGTTCCAGTCCAAACAGGTAGCCACATTAAGTTCGTCATTTCTAGGTTCTTGGAAAATTTCCAAAATGAGTGGGAAATGTTTAAACGCAACTCTTAGTGGTTTGTACTGATCTTCTTCGCTGCTGTCTTTCTTAGCTTGTAAGAGATTCAGCTTTTCTTGGATTTAACTGTATTCTTTCTCTCCCTCCATTCTTTCAGTCTTTGCAACTCTATCTGGTTTTATTTTTTTATGAATTTGAGCTTTTATTCTTCTCTGTTTAGCCCTTCCTCCTCAGCTAATTTTGAACGCAATTCCCTTTGGAATCCTTTCCATTCTATAAACCACTACCAAGAATACGGTACTTTCTTTTTATATAGGGATTTGAAAATAAAATCCTTTTCTCTCATTTGCTGTTGCCCATTAAAAGAACTGCCATAAAATAGTTACTATAGTAATTGTAACTATCATCTTTTTAACAATCAGAAATGGTTGTCCCAATTTTGTTAGCAAACAAAAAGACAATGATT